GATATCTCGCTTTACAAATCGTGTCTATTTAGAAGACCAAATGCGCCTTTAACGGGGAAACACATAAAATATACTTCAGGATTGGCATGTTAAATTGGCTTTTTTATTGTAAAAGAATAGTGGCGAACGGCGTCCAAATTCATGTTCGACTCTGATATTCCTTTATAAATTGACATTTCATACAAAGCCAAATTAACATGCCAAGCCTGAATCCTCGTATGTGTTTCCCCTTTATACATCATATATGCACAAAACCTGCCTTGTGTAAACAGTATCATACTCTTTACATCCCATTATATTATGGTACGCTTTTCATTTCGTTGACACATCTTGTATGCAATTCCCCCCACACACCAAAAACACAAATATGTGCATTCTGCATAATCGAATAACCGGCTTTACAACTACTAACTACCCGATACTGCGCGACAACATTAGAAATCGTCATCATCAGTTTTTTCGTAGTCGTCGCGTAAATAAATGGTGGGAAAAAACTGGCAATTATTTTCTCTATATTAGTGTTGTTATTATTCCATCTATCAGACGTCATTAATTACAATACCGATTGTAGCTCACATTAATGAATCTCGATGTGGAGTTGACCATTTACTAACTACGTCTCCAAAGTGAAGTTTCAACCAACAAAAAAATAAAAGTGTTCAATTGTCGAATTGTTTATCATGAGAAGAAAAAGTCAATAAAATAAAAACAATAAAAAAGAAACACCAAATGCCCCTATAGCCGTGCTCTTCCCACTTACGGCTGGTAAAAGCGGAGAGAGAGTGCATTAACTAACGAACCGAGTAGTAGAGAAAATCTCAAGAGAAGAAGAAGCAAAAAAATTTCTTTAGTGGCGTCCAAAGAAATTCTGCGTTGATACGATGTTGGTGGAAAAACAAAAACTTGTTAAAGGAGCAATAAATCCTTGAACATTTTTCCGAAGCAAATAAAAGCGGGCAGACAATAAGAATCCGTGTGGTGTTAATGTGTGTGCTGGGCGGGTGAAAATGTAGAGGTGAAAAAACTACGATTAATGCAAAACTTAACTTGCAAAATCAAATTGTGTGAATAACTGTACTACTCTCATCTCAACCAAAAAAAACAAAAAAAAACGAAAAGAAAAGAAACACATAAATAAAAATAGACCAACAAAAACCGCTAATCCTCTTCCGAAGCAAAGCAGAAGAAAAAAAAATAACTTACTAAATAAAGAGAAGAGGGTAAATCCGCTAAGAAAAAAACAACAAAACATCCCAATCGGAGAGAAGTAACTAAACGAACGATACACGACGAGAAGTGGTAGGTATATGGACCAAAGGAACCCGGATTGTACCACAACTTTCTCCAGAAATTTAAAAGGATTACAACGTTAGTAGGTTTACCCCCCACAACATGGAGGCAATGGATATAGGTGATAAGGAGGACTCCTCCGCAACAAGAAAATATGGTACAGCAGATGAGGCGGGGGGAGGTGGAGAAGGTGGGAATGAACTTGGCGGCATTGCTGCTGATGACGGCGCTCTATCAACAACAAATAGTTCAAATTTGTCAACAAAAACACAGCACCAACAACAACAACAAAATAAAGTGCCTACCGCTGCTGTTCTCGCTAATTCAAATAATGCAAACGATTTTGAAATGTTAGAAACGAAGGATAAAAATGAAAATTCTCAGAATGCTGGCATTCACACGGACGAAGAAACAAATACAAAAAATAATTTATCTCCAAATAAAACGGCGACAACAACAATAGTGGAAGATTGTAACGAACTACCAGGACGTAGATCATCAAACAATGACAAGTCAATGGCGTTAACATTAACGCCATCCACAATAGAGGAGCCATCACAATCTCCCACCACATCGATTGGTGGCGGCGGAACTGGTGGTGGTGGTAGCGCCAGTGTTGATTCCGATGGCAAAATGCAATCTCCAAGTCTAACATCACCAGCAGCTTCCACACCCGCTTCAACACCACCCTCGGAAACTGGTCAAGCAGATGGTGGTGGTGATGGCGGTGGCGATTATTCACCACATGATATTACCGGCGGCAATAGTTCTGCGGAACATTCCTCTCCCACAGCCGATGTTGCTGACCAAACTTCCATGGATGTAGAAAAACCGCAACAGAGTCCAACACTACAGCAGCAGCATCCGCCAGCCACGACGCCACACATTCAACATGCCATCAATGTAGTGCGAAATGGTACCATACCGAATGCTGGTAAACCCTTGATGTCAACCATCAGTAAGAAATTTGAAAAATCTGCCAAATCAGGACGTACCCGTAAACCGAAAGCGGCAGCTGGACCCATGTATGAAAGTGAGGTAAGAAAAGAAAGGGAAATGATCGAATGTGGAAGGAAGAGAAAAATATCTGTAGTCATTGGAAGTTTTCTATTCAAGAGATCGTCTAGAATAGAGTAATCATCTATAATGGTTATCTATATGATTCCTAAATTCTGGAAGATCTATTGAATAGAGTACTTCCAGAATTTCTTCCGTACCCATAGATGACTTTGTATAGAAAACCTGACATTGGTTCTCCTTGTATGTTTAGCGAACTTCTATCAGGTCATTTGTGTATATAGGATCGATCTCTATAAGGTCCTCTAGGTATGACATTGGACCAACACGTAGAACTAAGCGACTATATATCACCAGTCCTGAGATTTGACAATGTAGATGTCGTTATCCCTAGTAGAGACGCAACTCTCCTCTGAACGGTCTGGCTTTTTATATAGACGAATCCAAGATGGAAGAAGGTACAGGGGCTGGCGTCTACTGTAAAAGGCTAGGTCTTGAGCTTACCTATAAGCTGGATAGCAACTGTAGTGTTTTTCCAAGCTGAAATCTTTGCTAGTTGGAAAACAGCGGAATTGATAAAAAGTCTGTTAAACCGGTGACTATCTTTGTGTATAGTCAGGCGGCTCTTAAAGTCATCAAATCCTGTAATATCAAATCTGAGGTCGTCCTCGAGTGTAGAACAGTTTTGGAAACGTCTCTAAGCTTCTTTTTAACTATTTAACCTGCTTTAATTTACATCACATTGTTAGCTTCTTGTCCTTCCTTTATATAGGATACCTCTTCTCAATCCTCTAGAAGATCCTCTTGGTAAAAAGGGGCAATAAGAGTTCTTCTGTGACTGTGAAGAGCTTCAAAGAGTTCGCGTGTGTATTTACATTTAAAAACATTTAAAATGTCTTCCATGTGTAGAAGACCTCAGAAAATAGTTCTGGGCATACCTCTGGAGGTATTTCTTATATTAAAAACCTTTATATGGTCTAAAAGTATTTTTGTAGGGTTTGTTCTCTGAGAGGTCTTCTTAATGTAAAATACCTCTAGAAGGTCATTTAGGTTAGGGTAGGGAAGACGTCTAGGTATTTTTTTAATGATCTTCTTTAAATAGACTATATGATCTTCTGTAAATAGACCAATTTTTGTAGGTGTTTTCTGTATACAGAAGACCTCTAGAAGGCCTTCTGCTAATAGGAGGCCACAACATGCTGTTCTTCTGCCAATGCGGCAACATAATGTGTTACTCACCAGACAGTTCCTGCTGGCATGCCATCTGCCCACGCGTCCCAACCACCATATAATTGTATAGGATCCATTCCCTCTACATATCCGGAAGGACATCAAGCGATACAGCAACGACATCCAGGAAGTCATTCCATCTGACATCGACCGATTGTCCGCATCGCTGAGAACTGTTCACACTCAGACAGTCCAGCAAGCTGTCAATGAGCATGAATTAAATCGTGTCCTTAACTGTCAATCTCCAACGGTGGCCGAAGCTGAGAAACTATCTTAGCACAACTTCGGTCAAGTTGATCAGTCATCCAAAATGTGTATCAAACGAAAATCGCCGGGATCGAAGACATTTGTCTCGCAATACACATGTCCTTTATTTCCATGTACAGTTCAGCCCACGGATTTTCGTCAATTGATCTGTGGCTGAGACCAGTAGAAGTGGCGAGTTTTTTTGCAGCTCTCAACCTAACATTTTACCACTACAGAACCCTTCCCATTAACTCCATCATCCCATACCATACACACATCATCCACAAGAGAACCTCTAAGAGCCTTTCCGTCTATATCGGAATTCTAAGAGCGAAATTAAGATCTCTAAAGGGTATTTTGCTAGAAGAACGTCGGTACACCTCTAGAAGAAAGATCTCCAAAAGGTATATGTCCAGAATGTCTTCTGCGTATATAAAACCTCTATAAGTTCTTGTGCGTATAGCGCACCGCTACAAGGCCTTCAGTATACCTATGATCATTAGAAGATCGTTTAAGTGTAGAGAATCAATGAACGATTTTCTGAGTAAATAATACTTCCAGAAGGTGAACTGTGTGAAAAGGATCTTTAGAAAGGTAAATTAGGATCTCTAAAGGGTATTTTGCTTGTATATAGAACGTCTCTCCAAAAGGTTTATGTCCAGAAGGTCTTCTGGGTATAGAAAACCTCTATAATTTATTGTAGAGGATATTCTATCTAGTAAATACTTATCGTCTTCAAAAGGCCCATAAATGTCTTAATTTTCTGGAAGACCCTCAAAATTTATGGTGTATCTATAGGTACTGTAAAAGGTGTATAAGATAAAAAATTATATTTTTTTAGTTCAATAAAATATTCATTTAAAAAATCAACGCCTTATTTAAGTCCCTAAAAATATTTTTTCAAAAATCCAGGCCTTATTTAAGTCCCTAAAAATATCCTTTTAAAAAATCCACGTCTTATTGAAGTTCCTAAAAATACAACCATAAGAAACTAATTAACAATTTTTTAAATTTGATATATATTTTTTCTATATTCTTTCAGATAAGTGAAAATAAAACGGGTATTAAGTTATGTATTAAAAAATCCGATAGTTCATTAAGTGCCGTCACAGCTACAGCAGCGGCCACAGCAGCCGTTAAATCAGCCACAACATCGGGGAGAAGTCGTAAAAGTTCAAGGAATCCAAAACAACGTATAAAACTGAACAACGACAGCAATGATGAAGCCGATGAATTGGATTATGAACCTAAACGGAAAAAGGAACGTAGTTCCAAGCGACAATCGGCCACAGGAACGGGCGGCTCTAATGCAGGGCAAGCTGGCAATGATGGTGATGAACACAAACGTCCCATTGTGGAGCAAAGTATATGGGGTAGAGATTTACCCGAACCAGTGCTTTTTAAGGTAAATAATTCAAAATATATATTTAAATATTTTTTGTTAATTTCTGTTTTCATTTCTTTTTGTAGATTTTCCAAAATGTCGTCGAAAAGGAAGGTTGCCTACCGACCTTATTTCGTTTGGGTCGTGTCTGTTCCCTGTGGCGCCGTGTCTCTTTATCACCCACCTTGTGGCGTTCGCTAGATCTCACCACATGGATTAAAGAGAAATATCGCACGGAGCTGAAATTAAAATGGTTTGTCGATAATCGCTGTACATGTTGCACAGAATTGAATGTTTGTAAGTATTAAACAAAATATTTGCTATTGTGTTTGTTTTTTATTATAAAATAAAATATGTATTTTTGTATTTTCTTCTTACAGCAAACTTCAAAATCACAGACATTAATTGTTTTCTAATGAAATTAGCTGATGGTGCACCGAATTTAACAAGTATAACCCTATCGGGTTGGAAAGGTTTCTCATGTGATCATTTGGCATATTTAGTTGAAAATATGAAAAAACTCGAACGTCTAGACTTAAGTTCTGTGAATGTAAGTACTGTAACGAAGTTATATATGAAGATGTGAGACACAAGAGGCGTTTTAAAAGTCAAAAAATCCTAATAATATTCCTTTAAAAAATCCATGCCTTATTTAATAGCCTAAAAATATTCCTTTAAAAAATTCAAGCCTTATTAAATAGTCTAAAATATTTCTTTAAAAAATCCACGCCTTATTTAAGACCCTGAAAATATAATAGCATAAAAATATTTCTTTAAAAAATCCATGCCTTATTTAATAGCCTAAAAATATTCCTTTAAAAAATCCACGCCTTATTTAATAGTTTAAAAAATAATTTAAGAACCTAAAATCCACGCCTTATTTATGACTCTAAAAATATTGTTTTAAAAAATCCACGCCTAATTTAACCCAGGTAACATCGCGGGGAGCCTGGCCTTTGCCATGTTAAAGCCAATCAGAGCCGTTGTTGGAAATCTATCACCCCCGACGTCACCCACTTATTTAAAAGAAAAAATTAAAATGTTGCTTCGGTTTTGACCAAGGAAAAATTTGGGTCAATCTAGGTTTTCATAAAATACCTTTTATTTAAAAAAAAATGCGTTTATGAATTTTTTTAAAGTTAATAAATTACCTATTTATTTCTAAAAAATCTTTTACAATATTCTTATTTTTAAAAAGTTACATTTCATTTATTCAGTTTGCAATTTCAGTTGTTTAACCATTTCATCATTCGATTTCACTGAAATAATGTCACCTAAAAGGTTAGCAATACGATCTTTAACCAAAGGCGCCACAAAA